TAGCAGAAGAAGAAGAAGCTGAGGTGGTCTTTACTGAGGAGGATCGTGCTCTCCTGGCGATACTCAGGAGGAAGCAGAAAGTAGTAGGGGATGGAGACTTGAGGAGTGGGACTGAGGAGGCATCCACCTCGTTCTTCGCCAGAGGCAACACTGCTACCTATGCTCATCCGACCAAATGTACTGATGACATACATGCTCTTGCTTCTATGTCTCCCGACAGATCATCAGAATGGATAGTCGATTCCGGTGCGTCTCGACATGTGACAGGTAATGCTAGTGAGTTCTCATTATATACTTACCTAGCATCGCCTGATAGTATTCAAACAGCTGATGGTACATTTCAGCCGGTGGTTGGTAAGGGTACAGTCGATTGTACTGGTTCTGTAACTTTGTCCAATGTTTTGCATGTTCCTTTCTTTCCAGTCAATCTTTTGTCCATTAGTTCTATCATTCTCCAACTAAAATGCATTGTTTCTTTTGATATTCCCAAGGTGATTTTCCAGGAGAAGGGGACAGGACGGAGACTTAGGACTGGCACATGGCGTAGTGGATTGTGGTATCTGGATCGTGAAGGGCTGGATTCAGCGTTGGTGTCAGTCGTAGAGAAAGCAGAAGTAGAATCTAAAATGAGTACTGAGAGTGAGTTAATGCTTCATCACCAGCGTTTGGGACACTCATCCTTTAGTGTTTTAGGTAGATTGTATCCTTCTTTATTTGAGAAAACAAATAAACAGAACCTTGTGTGTGATGCATGTGAGTTTGGAAAGCTTACTAGAAGCTCTTATGTTAGTTCTGGTCATAGAAGTTCTCATGCATTTGACTTGGTACATTCAGATGTTTGGGGGCCTTGTTCCACAAGTTCTATGAATGGATACAAGTATTTTATTACATTTATTGATTGTTTCTCTCGTGTTACTTGGTTATACCTGATGAAAAATAAGAGTGAAGTGTTTGGGTGCTTCCAAAACTTTCATAGGAATGTTCAGACCCAATACGGAGCAGTGGTGAAGGTATTAAGGTCGGATAATGGGACATAGTATACCAACAGAGCGCTTGAAGAATATTTGTCAGTTCAGGGAATACAGCACCAGACAACATGTCCATACACACAGCCAAACATTTTAGAGGTTGCTAGAAGCATGATGATCTCTATGAATGTCCCAGAAACATTGTGGGGGCCAGCAGTATTGACCGCAACAGCGCTAATCAACAGAATGTCCTCGAGAGTGCTGAATTGGAAGTCTCCGTGTGAGACGTTGAAGGGAGATAATGGTGGGATTCTTCCACTTTAAGTGTTTGGCTGTGTGTGCTTTGTGAAGGACAACAGGCCATCCGTCGGGAAGCTTGCCCCTAGAGCTGTGAAGTGCATCTTTGTGGGATATTCTGCTACTCAGAAAGGATATGTTTCCTGGAGCCCGGTGGAGAAAAGGTTGTTTGTGAGCATGGATGTGCACTTTCGAGAACTCGAGCCATATTACACCCGGAAGGTAACTTCATCCGTTAGTAACTCGCCCAATACTAGAAGTATGAGGTGAGAGGAGGAGAATGGTGAGAGATCGGTGAACAATGTGGAGAAATCGATTTCTGTATCGATTCCGATTCCTTTGGAGGAAGAATTGGTTAAGGAGGAGCAGGAAAATGAGACAAGAGGTGTTAGGCCCACGGTTCAGGGGGAGCTACTAACCTATAGTAGGAAGGGGAAGCAAATTACAGGAACAGTACCTACAGTACCACTAGTGCTGCCAAGTCTCTTGCCAACGCCTGCCCCGACTCCTGAGACACCTACACCATCACCAGATTCATCCCAAGGTGATAACATTCCTCTCCCTACTCCTCCCACACCAATATCAGTACGGAGGAATACTCGTAGTAATGCGGGAAATCCTCCCGATAGATATGGTTGGGATCTTACCCAGCTTGTATCATATTCCAACATTCATCCTGCACATGGAGCATTCATTGCATCATTGGACTCTGTTACTGTACCTAACAATTTGCAGGTTGCTAAGAAGGACCCAAAGTGGAAAACGGCGATGCACGAAGAGCTAGGAGCTCTTGAGAAGAACCGCACCTGGGAGTTAGTAAAACTACCAAAAGGAAAGAGAGCGGTTGGATGCAAGTGGGTCTTCACTGTGAAACAGAATCCAGATAGACAGGTAGAGCGTTATAAGGCTTGTCTTGTGGCGAAAGGGTATAGCCAGACGTATGGAATCGACTATGATGAGACCTTTGCACCAGTAGCGAAGATGAGCACTGTTCGGACCTTGATCTCTCTGGCAGTAAATGGTGGATGGAAGCTACACTAACTAGATGTGAAGAATACATTCCTTCATGGAGATCTGGTTGAAGAGGTATACATGGAAATACCACCAGGTTTCGACACAGATCAGACAGTAGGCAAAGTCTGTAGGTTGAAGAAGTCTCTCTATGACCTGAAGCAGTCTCCACGTGCTTGGTTCGACAGATTCAGGAGGGCTATGATAGCTATGAGATACCAGCAGATTAACGCCGATCATACCGTGTTCTTTCGACGGAGTGAAGGTCACATCACCATGCTTGCAGTATATGTGGATGATATAATTATTACAGGGGATGATGAGAATGAGATTGCCCAACTCAAAATGAGACTGGGTAATGAATTTGAGGTGAAAGATCTTGGCTTGCTTCGATACTTTCTTGGAATAGAGATAGCTCAAGGAGCGGAGGGGATCGTCCTATCCCAGAGAAAGTATGCACTTGATCTTCTCAAAGAGACAGGGATGTTAGGGTGCAAAGGTGCTGAAGCTGGAGAACCAGTTGATCGTGACAGATACCAAAGGCTGGTGGGCAGGTTGATCTATCTGAGTCACACACGTCCCGATATCTCTTTTGCAGTGAGCGTGGTGAGTCGCTACATGCACGATCCAAGGAAGGGTCATATGGACGTAGTATACCAGATTCTGAGGTATTTAAAGAGTGCCCCCGGAAAAGGACTGATACTCAGAAAAAATGAACATATGAGTATTGAGGGTTATTGTGACTCGGATTAGGCTAGCTGTGCTGATGACAGGAGGTCCACCTCAGGATACTGCATCTTCATAGGAGGCAACTTGGTCTCGTGGAAGAGCAAGAAGCAGTCAGTGGTGGTAAGATCAACAGCTGAAGCAGAGTATAGAGCCATGACCTTGGGAGTTGCAGAGTTATTGTGGTTGAAGAGTATGCTGGTGGAGCTAAAGCTGGATCAAGGAGCCAAGATAAAGCTGTGGTGTGATAACAAGTCAGCCATCAATATCGCCAATAACCCAGTGCAGCATAACAGAACCAAACACATCGAGATCGATAAGTTCTTCATTAAAGAGAAGTTGGACAATAGACTACTGGAGTTAAGTCATGTTCCAACTAAGGATCAGGCAGCAGATTGTCTGACTAAGGGACTTAGCTCAGTAGATATAATTAGAGGATGTGACAAGATAGACTTAGTGGATATCTTTCGTCCATCTTGAGGAGGAGTGTTGACATATTAGTAATAGATAGGGTGTTATTTGTAAGTTGTGTTGTAAGGGCCTATATAAGCCCATCTTATGGAGTAATAACATAAGGGTTTTAATTCTTTAACTTGTTTATTCTTTTGGTATATTCAGCATTCAACTATTATGATGTCAATATAAATGTAACTGAGATATGCAATCCAACTTAAATTTGGAAGATTGCAGAAGTGATACAGTCGTTATATACATCAATACTTTCCTTATGTGGATACGGCTATGTATTTATTGACAGTGGTTTCGTAAGTTTAAGATTACTCCTTAATTTTTTCCTCTGAAGAATCACGATGCTCGCGAGGAAAAGCTTGAACATGGAAGTTTGTTGATTCTTCAACAAGGAGCAGATGTACCATATAAACTATAAGAAGGTTCTCTGAGGATGACAATATGTAGTATGTTGTTGGATTTTTGGTCAAAACTGCTTTCCAAAATAAGTTTTCAATATATATATATACGTTGGCAAGCCAAGAAGTGTTTTATTTTAATTAATCTCTCATAAGTTCTAGTGGGCCATGAGCCAATGTGCCGAGGATCGGGGCTAATCGGACTGAGATACTAAGTGGCGTTTTCTTAGGCGCATTTCACACGGATGCATCGGGGCGAGGTGGCGCTGTTTGGCGCCACGTTGGCTGCCACGAAGGTGAAGGGGACGAGCTACGCATTCGCACGATGGTGTGATCCTAGCGTTCTCGAAGTCAGACAAGGTTCGTCAATTGGTTGACGAGGTTCCACTTGTTCGACGAGGTTCGTCTGATTCACAAGATCAGACGAGGTTCGTCTGTTTGATGAGGTTCGCTCGTCAAATGAGCATCATCTGTTTGACGAGGTTCGCCTATCAAACGAGCTTCGCCCGTTTGACGAGGTTCGTCTGTTTGACGAGGTTCGCCTGTCAAACGAGGTTCGCCTGTTTGACGAAGTTCGTTTATCAAACGAGGTTCGTCTGATTTGCTGAGACGTGACCCTCCCGTTTCGTAGCAACGCGTCCATTGGTTGCCTCGTATTCAGGAGTTACTGCATGCAGCAGTTACAACAGCATTTACAGCAATTTAATGTATTGATGACACAATCTTAATTGTCATTGAGAATTGTAACAGCCACATTAATTGCGAGCGACTCTTGAGTTGACCTTAGAGACCTATAAATAGCGCCTTTGGGCAGCTCTTGAAACACACACGCGAGCTTGGAAAACGAACGTCGGATCGAGGAGATCTTGACGTTGTTGCTGTTGTGCTGCTGTAGAAACTGTGCCCGCAGGAACTTGCCCTTAAACCTAAAGGTTTTTGAACCAAAAGGTTATGAGATCGAGGAGATCTTTTTCTTGACCGAAAGGTCTTATAGATCGAGGAGATCTTAATAGTACTGGGTTGGTGCACACCAGAGTACTGTGCTGCTGTTCCTGAAAGCAGTTTGGCCTTGGGATCATTGCACCGGAGTAGACCAAATATTGCTTTAAGTATAGCGTTTCACAAACGCACAGCAGTGGACTGAAAAATTTAAAATTACAGCACATCATCTTTCACTGTTTAATTCCACATTTAACCATAATTTTCAACATATGCAACATTCAACTTCTAAAAAGTAGGGCCCCTAAGGTCAGAAAACTTTCATTCTTTGAATAAAAATTTAGCATTCCACAGGTAGAAAGTACTAGTAATTACTTACATGGCTCACTAGCATATAGAGAACAAGGTTGTATGCAGCTCCAGCCCATGCAGTTTCCATCATGACTCCACTTGTCTTCACAATTTGGGATGAAAGAGGAAAAATTAGAAAGAGCCTCGGGATATATTGGAAGATGATGCAGAATCGCAGGAAGTTCTTAGTGTTTCTGGTTGTGGAACCTTCCAGGTTGGGAATTACCAACCATATCACAACCTGAAGAGACGCGCACGCGCAAACGCAAACGGAGAAGAAAAGAGGAATGTTAAAGTTCTGTCAGAAGGTATCCTTTGCAAGGACCGATGTGCGCCGTAAACAATCAGACTAGTGAGGTAGTAAACAGAGCTACCTGAGAAATTGGCAATGCCGCAAGGAGATCAAGCCAGAAACCTCTTGATAGGTACCTATGCGCAATTTTAGAAGGTTCAATAACAAGCTCGCCTCTACCAAAAACCCGAGAGGATGGAGCAACGAATGCCGTTCTGAAGCGAAAAAATATCTGGACAACATAGAACACATCTGCCAACGATCGAAGGATTGTAAGTGCCAATACGAGGGGAACGCTAATCTCTACACAGTCCTCTTCTCTTGTGCCGGGCAGGTAGAAGAAGAGCGGGTCCAAGAAGAGCGAGAAGATGCAAGCCACAAGGAAAATCCTGTTCCATTGATGGATAGCTGGGCCACGAGGATCAAAGATCCTCTTCTTCCTCTCCGCTCTCACCGATTCATAGTCTTCTGAAAACACTCGGGACAGCACCTTGGCCTTGAAGGATCGGTGCGGTTTTCCTGACGCTGATCCTGATTCTGACGGGCATTTATACTTGAGATGGTCGTAGTTTTCATTCGTCGTTGAATTTCCCAGTCCAACTTCATCGCGGAACCTGGAAAAACAAACGGGAATCTATGCAAATAGGAAAAAGAAACAAACATTTCTATCAAACGCTGGAACCAAACCATGCCAAGCCAAGCCAGCGTGTTCATAGGGACCGAAACCAGCATTCAAGTCGTGTTACTTTTTAAAGCTTTGGACTCACCTCACAGATCTTGAATTAGGGAAGGCCATGGTTCTTCTTGATCAGGAGTCCTTCAGTCGTGCGTAGTTGTTGATCGACGACAGAGTTTATATCGTGGCGAGTCGTCGACGGAGGGTGACGCGATTTGAGAGCTCTGCCATAGGAAGTTGGCCTGTGAGAACTTTAAGCCAAGTATCTTGTGACCCAAACTAACCATCTGTAAGTAAAAGCTTCAGAGATGCTCTGATCCAGGTCTTCAACGTAGGCAGAAACATGTGACCCTTTTTCTTTCTGCGAGTCCTTTACTAACCTTATTCCACAACTCCTCCTCCCTCGGCCTCAAACTCTATATCGAGAAATTGAAAGATTTTGTTCTCACAGTCTGTGAAGACGAATGGGTCAAGTTGTAGTGAGAATTTGGAGAGACTTAAAAGTTAAAAAGACCGGAGAAAAAGAAGTTGCCAGCCGAGTCTTGGAGCAATAAGAAGTTGAGAGTAGAACGCGACAGATTTAACTCGTTGGAAGGAGCTTTCTAGCTTTGACATGGACAAATCTTAGTAACTGCTTTGGTGGCTGCAAAGGTGTCTGGTCAACTTTCACTACTGATTGCACCCACTAATCGTTTCCAAATTGATATTAGGAAATGGTTTAACAAGGACTTAAATATTTGAGCATAATCTGATCCATATATAAATCTTAAAGATATGGGCTCAACTAGAAGTGGTTGAGGCTAGAGCTTCGCATGCTTAGTTTGTCGAATTCAATTGTATGATCGGCTACTTTAAACTTTCCCCCTCCTTTTCTGATAATATGCCATTGTGGGTATAAGAATATAATTATTCTCCGTAATCACTTGTTTTAAACTTTATCAATGGCTGGGTTCTGCAGATCAAAAGAAGCTGGACGCGACGAGAGAAGTGCTGGTATATTTATTTCACGAGGGTGTTTCATGCATTATCATATCACACCTACAGGTATGGAATTCTTGTGGAGAAGAATTGGAAAAAGCAGATTTTTGGTCATAAGTCGACTCATGCACAGGCATAAGTCGACTTATGGTAAGTCGACTTATGTTGGTGCATGAGTCGACTTACGTTCTGCTCTGGATTGTTGGTTTTTTGCTCTGCCAAGTCGACTTATCAGGTCTGATAAGTCGACTTATGATCTCTTCTCCAGTTGCTGTTTTTCGCTCTGCCAAGTCGACTTATGCAGACTGATAAGTCGACTTATGACGGGTTTTTTGGAAAGTTCAGGTTCCTATTTGCAGTCTGTTTGGGTTTCTGTTTTGGTATAAATACCAATACGATTTGAGGGTTTTGTGAGGAGAGTTTTGGGGTTTTGGAGCACAGAAAAAGAGAGATCTTTCTGAGCTATTTGTTAGGGTTATTGGTTGAGAGATTGAGAGATTTGTTGGTGAGATTAGTTGGTTCGTTTGAGCGATTTGTAATCTCAATTTGTACTCTCCTTCTCTATTAGTGAAAACCCACCCCCTTCTTGCCCCGTGGACGTAGGCAATTTGCCGAACCACGTAAAACCTTGGTGTTTGTGTTTTGTTTGGTCTTTCTCTCGGCGTTCGTTGGTTTGGTTTCTCAAAGCATCAGTCACAACAAGTGGTATCAGAGCACGGGCAACGCTTGGGCTATTTGGAGGAGTAGATCGCTTTGGAAGTTCATCTAGGGCTTCGTTTGGTGATAAAGGTGGGATCTTTTTTTGTAAAAATCTCGTCTTTTTCAGTTTGGATCTATTTCTCGTTTGTTTCCGCATTGGTTTGGTGGTGCCTTGAGGATTATGGCCGAGAAAGAAGGAGTTGTGGGCAGTACTTCCGGCGTGAAGACCGTCCAAAGCTTGAATATCCACTCAATGAAGATTGATGTGGAAAAGTTCAATGGCACAAACAATTTTGGACTTTGGCGATGCGAAGTCATGGATGCGCTCAACGCGCAAAATTTGGAAGATACGTTGGAGTTGGACGGGAAACCGGACAACATTGATGAGAAGGTTTGGAAAAAGATGAATCGAACGGCGTGTGGTGTGATTAGGTCTTGTCTCACTCAAGATCTAAAGTATGATGTGATCAATGAGACTTCTGCAAAGAAGATTTGGGAGATCCTTGAGAGCAAGTATTTGACCAAGAGTGTGGAGAATCGCTTGCATTTGAAGAGGAGGCTTTACCGCTTCCAGTTGAAGAAAGGAACCTCCATTGGTGATCACATGAACCACTACACGAAGCTTCTTGCGGATTTGGCGAATGTGGATGTTAAGATTGAAGATGAGGACAAGGCGTTGTTGCTATTGAGTTCCTTGCCTGACGAGGAATATGAGACCTTCGTTCTTACTCTTATTAATGGGAAGGCATCTCTTTCGTATAGTGAGGTCACCGCTGCACTTGTGAATTATCAGCTTCGAAAGAAGGATAAGGAGACTTCGTTTGAGCCGGTAGCGGGGGCGTTGGTCGCAAGAGCAAAGGGTCCAAACCGTAGTGGGAGGTCGCAGTCTAGAGGGGCACATCTTGGAGTTCGTAAGAATCAATGTGCCTTTTGCAAAGAAGATGGACATTGGAAAGCCGATTGCCCAAAGTTAGTTGATCGAGCCGGGAAGAATAAGGGAAAAGCTATTCAAGCTTCAGAGGCGAATGTTGTCAAGGCTAGTGGCAACGATTCAGATTCGGATTCTTCGGGCTACTCGTTATCTGCACTGCCGTCAGTTTGTGTTGCCTACTCTACAGAGTGGATATTGGATTCGGGTGCTACATACCACATTTGCCCTAGGAGGGATTGGTTCTCCAGCTTTCAGGAGTTGGAAAGAGGGGATTTCGTGCTCATGGGGAATGATCACAAATGCTCTATTGGTGGTATTGGTACTGTTCGGATCAGGATGAGTGACGGGGTGATTCGGGAGTTGGTTGGAGTGAGGTTCGTTCCTCAGTTGAAGAAGAACATCATTTCACTTGGAGCTTTGGAGGCAGCTGGCTATAGGGTGACCTTGGCGGATGCACGCTTGAAGGTTACATTTGGGTCCATGATTGTGATGAAGGGCGTCAGAAGAAGAAATTTGTATTATTTGCACGGAAGCACGGTGATTGATAGGGAAATGACGACTTCATCAGATTCGGCTAGACTGTGGCATTGTTTGGTGCTGGGGTATATGATTGGTAATACCGTGCATTGGTTGTTGAGGAGTGCTATGACCTGCAGATTGAAGTCCTGTGAGCACATTAGGATGAGCGAGACCGTGGTGGAGTTTGGCACTTCTATCCATCGAGCGAGGGGTCTTTTTGGAGGTGTTCAGTCAGGCATTTGGGGGCCTTCCAAGGAGGCATCATTGGGAGGTAATCGTATCTTGGTTTCCACAGTTGGTGATTGTTCTAGGCATTATTGGGTCGCGACCAGTTCCCGTTGGTGTAAAGTCCTAGAAGTCAACAACAATTGGAAGAAGTGTATTGGCAGAAAGGTAACTCATTGTTTCAGCTTTGGTAGGGGTCCTTTCTTGCGTTGGTGCCGAGCTCACGGCAATAGGAGACACTTCATTGGTGTGGAGACTTTGGGGCGACGAGATGAGATGACAGTTTCGATGGGTCGTTCCTTTCTGGAGGAGGATCGGCGTTTGATGTCGAGCATTGGCATTGGTGTGCGGGCTTCGACATATTTGGGTCATCTTATGCATAGGTCGCCGACTGCTGCTTTAGGAGTTATTAGATCTGGTGGAGCTGCTTCAGATTTTGGGTCGCGTCGGATATTTGGATACCCAGCATTTGGTCACATCGTGGATGTGAGATTGGATCCGATTGCGCGTTTGGGGTTCGGAGGCTCAGTTGATTATCGTTTGGGAGCTTCTGATTTTGTTCTGAGCAGGTATGTCACTTTTGACTCTCGGCAGGTGGAGAGTGTTGATCAGGTCATTTGGATATCGCAGCAGGTGGAGAGTGATGCTACTCCACGTTGGGTGGAGATTACTCCACATACTCCAGATCATACTGCGTCATTTGGGATTCCAGCTAAGGTGACACAGGTTGGAGATCATTTGGTTTTGGATGCAGATGATGGATTGGTTTTGGATTCAGTTGCAGCTGGTAGATATAGTTTGGATATGGCCATTGGTTTACCTCAGGTGGAGGTGTTTGATTTGTCTCAATTTGGGGTCATTGGGAATACTATCAGTTGCAGATCGTTTGGTGATATTGGAGAAGAGTTGCAGACTTTTCTATTTGATTGAGGGCCTTTGGAGGCCGTTTGGGTGAACTACGTGAAGGCTTGATTCCTTGGGCAAAGGATACGTAGGCAGTCATTTTGATGCAGCCGATTTGGTGAGCGACATCGACATTTGGGGTGAGTGTTCACACTCTCATTTGGGTCTCAGCATGTGAGGCATTTGTTTGGTTGGTGTCGGCTCAGTTTTGGGAAAACTTCGCCGAGGTGGAGAATTGTGGAGAAGAATTGGAAAAAGCAGATTTTTGGTCATAAGTCGACTCATGCACAGGCATAAGTCGACTTATGGTAAGTCGACTTATGTTGGTGCATGAGTCGACTTACGTTCTGCTCTGGATTGTTGGTTTTTTGCTCTGCCAAGTCGACTTATCAGGTCTGATAAGTCGACTTATGATCTCTTCTCCAGTTGCTGTTTTTCGCTCTGCCAAGTCGACTTATGCAGACTGATAAGTCGACTTATGACGGGTTTTTTGGAAAGTTCAGGTTCCTATTTGCAGTCTGTTTGGGTTTCTGTTTTGGTATAAATACCAATACGATTTGAGGGTTTTGTGAGGAGAGTTTTGGGGTTTTGGAGCACAGAAAAAGAGAGATCTTTCTGAGCTATTTGTTAGGGTTATTGGTTGAGAGATTGAGAGATTTGTTGGTGAGATTAGTTGGTTCGTTTGAGCGATTTGTAATCTCAATTTGTACTCTCCTTCTCTATTAGTGAAAACCCACCCCCTTCTTGCCCCGTGGACGTAGGCAATTTGCCGAACCACGTAAAACCTTGGTGTTTGTGTTTTGTTTGGTCTTTCTCTCGGCGTTCGTTGGTTTGGTTTCTCAAAGCATCAGTCTCAACAATTCTGACTCGAACCTGAGCTATGATTCAATTTTCGATCTGAGTCGCGTTCTCTAGTTTCTTTCAACCTTTAAAATATCTGTTATTGATTCGAAATTGTGTAATGTTGAAATGCGAGTTTGCTTAATTAGGACCAAATATATTCAAGTACTACGAAAACTTTCCTCATACGAAGCTTTGTGAGGTGGATTTACAAGGGTCTCATCATTCTAAATGCTACCTTCCCCATACAGAGCCTTTTCCGATATATTAGTATAAAAACTTGTCGTATATCACTGTGTTTGGATTGATTTGTCGTATTTTTGTTTTGATTGTGCTTGTGTGTGGATTGGTTCTCTTCTCTCGTGCTTTACAAATTTGTTTGATGTGCGAGCACGCTTCCGCATAGGGGCACGACTGTAGCGAAAGGACATAGCGGAAGGACCTCCTTTTGATAACATGAAAAGAATTATATGAGAGAATTGATGCAACTGTCACTAAGAGACTTCCACAAAAAA